TTTTTTTTTTTTTTTTTTTTTTTTTTTTTTTGGAGTCATTTGGGCAAGAGAGCTGTGATTATTCTTAAATAAATTACCTCCATTTTAAAATATTTTTTATGGCTCTTCTTTTCTGTCATTAACTGTGCAAATATTAGAATTTTGAGATAGTTTTGAAGTTGCGGTAAGCGCTGAGAAAGCAGATAGGGCAAATGAATTTATGTTCGGATCATCATATTTTTTTTGAAAATACCAGCGTAAAAGTTCCAAATTTTTTCCTCTTTCTCTTCATGAGTTTCAATATCCTGCAAAAAAGTATTGGTTCACTGATCTGTTGCGACCAAGTGTTCAGCTGACCTTAAAACAAACGGAAAATTTAGGTGTTTAGGTTTTGGAAGTTATATGTAATAATAATACTTACAGTAATCTTCCGCTCCTGCGTTTACACAGAATATATTTTTTTTGCAGTTGAATTCATTCATTGGACATAAAATTCACAAGGCTTTTTTTTGATATTCATTAGTAAAAAGCGGAAATAAGTTTTGTGGAGTTATTGGTATCGTAATGATATTTGCTTAAATTCGATTTTGTTGAAAATCGGGAAGCGGAGTTGCCGATAGTAAACTAGAACAGTATAGGAATTTTGCCCTAAGATAATGTTTGTTCTTTAGGTTGTCTGTTGTGTATTTAACGCAGCGGCTTGGACTTCAAGTGTGACTGGTAATGGATTCATCAGTCGCTATAAAAATTTCTTCGAGGCTTCTCCCGGGAGATATGTATTAAATCTGTTTTTCAATAAAAGAATCCAAAAATTTTTGTGTTTACGTTTCAATGACATTCTTATTGTACCCAAACCGCCCTGTAAAACTGAATTCTATGTGTTTCTTCGAACATTTATTTAGCGGTGCCTTGTTTATCTGCAACCATTTTTCTAGCTAAATTGAATTCAGCCTTTTTATAAATGTTGCTCTTAGTTTTACAAGTCCTCTGTTCATGGGTGCCCCATTTAAACGTTATCAATGAACTTAAAGGGAGTAAAACCTTAATTGTGTGATTATTTTCTACACAAAAAGTATTTCAAATATATTTTAGCTGTGGCCTTAGCTGGTTCCTCCCATGTTCATCGTTTGAAATTTGCTCGTTTGTATGCTCATCAGATGAAGAACTGCAGTTCTAGTCAGGTTATTTCTCATACACTGAAGGTTTTTGGGCCAATCTCAATGAATTAGTTAAAAATCATTTTTCCCCAGGCTTGTTTTGTCATTGAAAATAGCTTATCTTAATACTAGGTTGTGTTAACAGGGTCTTCTCTCTACATACCAATTTTTAGATGGAAGCTCTAGCTTTGGGTAAAAAAACAGGGGTCTTATTGGTAAATACGGGAACTCCGGAACAGTACACGTACTTCTCTATCAGGAAATTTTTAGCTGAGTTTCTCAGCGATCGGCGAGTGATTGAGTTACCGAGGATTATTTGGCTACCAATATTGTACTTGTTTGTCCTCACTCGCCGACCTTTCAAAAAAAGAAACTGTTACAAGTGAGGGTTTGTTATAAATATGAGAAAGTTGAGTACCCAAAAGAGCTTACTTTGCTCGCTGAAACTTGCCAGGAGTTTCTAGCTCATATAGACACGTTGCCCTGTTAGGTTACGATGCACAGAGAAGCGTGAATAATATGCAGGCTATTTTTTTTCCAGTTGTTACAGTAAGTGACATACGGTCATTAAATGAAAAAAATGTTTTAAGGCTATTTTAAAAGTTTACAATCAGAGTTAGAGTAGAAAATTCTATACGTTCATTTTCTTCGTAATTCCTCCTCTACAAAATTAATGTCCGCAGTGAGATGTTTGTTAAGACTACGCTTGTGCTGTCATGTATTCAGCTTTCATAGGCTGCTCAAAATACACTTTAGGTCAATCTGGAACGCGGAAAAAAATGAATCTCCGTTGCGTACGATTTCTCGAAACCAAGCTCTCCACCTCGCCACACGGTTGGAAAGCAGATTGGTTAGTCACTTTTTCCGCTGCTTTACAAAAAATTTCCCTGCTGTATTTCGTTTGTATAGAATTGTGTTCAGGCCTCATTGTTTGGTTGTAATTGTGGTAACCTTTTTGACTAGAATAAATTTGTGATAAGCATCCGATATTATTAAATTAAAAACTGTAGTCGTCGACAAATGACTTTTATGTAGAATCGCTTTACAGTTATGACAGGCTGCTCTTAATTCCATGTCTGTTCAACTCAGCAACATAGGCTGTTTAATAATCTTAGTTACTTTGCATAAATATTGCTGAATTGTCCTTTTTTACTTCAAAAACATAACTTCCGGTTTCAAATGATGGATAAAAGGATAGGCACGAAGACTGCTCAGTAATCTTGCATGCAAGGTCTGCGGTTAGCGTTTGTAATTACAGTTATGAAATTATTGATAACGACAAGTTTTTTAGCGGTACAAGGGAAGTCATCTCTTCCAGAGCTTTGAAATTATTAAAGTAGGTGTGCTACAAAAATAATTTTCAAGTAGCTGTTCTGCTTGGCTACCTTTTTCAACTGAAATAGTTTTTTTTGTTTATTTTGACCTGGTTAGTTCTTATAAATCATTTACATTCCCTGGTAATGCTCTGTATCACATATATTCTAATCGGTTTTTGAAAGGCATTTTAAAATCAATATTTGTAGTAACGTTTTGCTTCAGTTTGATGTCGAATGGGCATTTCGTTACGGCAACCCCTCTATTTCGTCTAGCATCCAGGCTTTAAAGGACAGAGGTACTATTTAAGGTCGAAATCCGTTTTATTCTACTCTTAAGTCTTGTTGAAGTTATAAGCACTAGCCGTCAATTTTTGCTTGAGTCAGGTTAACTGAGATATTAGGTGCTGTGACAAAGGTCACCATTATACTGTTTTGTATCACGTAATTCATTGAATTTGGCTTAATTTTTGACCATTTTTGACCTTGATTTCTTCATTTTTGATTTTAAACCACTTATTCACTGCTAGCCAAGAAACTGTATTTGAAGGCTGCAACCGCCTCCTATTATTTCCTCTCTTTCCTCAGTTTGCAGGACCGACAACTGCTACTATTGTAGATGAGGTTCGTGGCCGTTTTCAAATTTAAAGCTTCCGGTGAACTCTTTAAGTTTTCACAACTTGTAGGCGATATAGCATTAAAATTTGATTACTGAGAATCGTAAGCGAATTATTTCTGTTTGAGAATTGCGGCAATTTTGCTAAAAATTTTCATTATATCCTACTAAATTGTTTACTTTTTCAAACAATGATGATAATAATATGGGTAGATTATTCCTTTTTAACTATATTCGAACTAACAATGAGTGATAATTATATGTTGATCCAATAATGTATAAGGATTCAGTGACTGCATTTTTTATCTTTGTTTCCTGATTTTTAGGTTTTCCGTTGTCTTTCAAAACAGCGCCACCAGATGTCATTGCGTGTTGTGTCGCCTTTCTTTGACAACGACGTCTACATCACCGCTGTTGTCAAAAAAATCCAGGAAAAACTAGACAATTTAGATTTCTCCATAGATGCTATAATTTTCTCGTACCACGGCCTTCCTGTTGATTATTGCTTAAAGGGTGATCCGTATGAGGTACAGTGCGAAGAAACTACTCGATTGCTTAAGTTCGTTCTTTTCATAGTTAAACTTATTTATACATTAGGAAGCTTCGGTATTGTAGCTGGGGGTGTAAACCGATTGTACATAAATAAATGGAGATACACAAATAAAAATGTATTAGTATTAGTATTGATATAGTACCAATAGTAATACTAATATTGGCATTAACATTAATATTATATGGTCTATACCACACTAAGTGGAACACTTATTGAAACGGCATTTAAATTTTTCAAAAATCTTTTCTGGAATTTTAATTTTTGCGTAACATATTGAAATTATAGAGTGGTATTTTGATGATATCACTAGCTGTGTGCGGTAAGTAACAGTAGTGAACAAGAAATCTCCAGATAGCGCAGTATTTTGACGCCTTTATGAGTGGTAGGGTTCCTGTATCAACTAGAGTTATTTAGTGCCGTAATACATACAGTAAACTAGAACTTACTTCAGTTCTACTGAGTAACAGGTAAGTGGTTGAATTTTTTTGTTTTTAAATAATTTTAAAACATTTCCGGATAAGAATTACCATAATGATTTCTTTTCCGATTTGCTTCTTTATTGGACTTTTCTTACCCGAGTATTTCACAATAGATACTGGCTGCTGAGTGCGAATATTGTTTTGATATTATTATTCCGGTTCTTTCTGACGTATTGCGACCGAAACTTTTGTGGCCTGGGCTTGGTGGACCTTCATAAAAACGCTATACTAGAAAAGCTTCTCTTTTTCATACTCTTCTAAAATTCAAAAAGCACTGAAATTTTTGTTGGGTGGTTCAGTGTCTGTTCGTGAAGACCACTGCCAATTAAAGTTTAACGTGGGAGTGTTTCTTTTTTGACGAATGTCGCTGCTAGCATTTTCATTGCGCCTCTTATGTTATCACAAACTTTTTCCAGAGATATTGAGAAGAAGTGCTATTCTGCTGCGACTGTGAAATTGAGGAAGTAAAATTTGGAAAATTCTTAGCGGTTTTTGCATCGCATACAACGTCGTCTAAAAAATAGATGATGTTTCTTAAATTTCATTTCCCCCTCAGTAAGCTTATCAATCGGTGCTGCAATTTATTTACAGCTATCGTATGACGAGAGAGACATTCTGATACTAAGTTTTAGAAAGTACCATGGTCCGGGAAATTTTTTGCACTACTGCATTTGGGTGGATTGCAACCTGCGTATTTGATCAGTGGTATCCTTGAGTGGTATCTGAACTACGATTTCAAAGTTTTTAGCAAAGTTACAAATTAATCCACTGCTTAGAAGGTGATACCAAAACAGTATTCACAGTCGACAACTACCACTAAGTGTGAAATATTCAGGTCAGAAGACTTCAATGGTGCAACTGAAGCGCTGCATCAAAAAGATAGTCATTATGATCATTTTACAAAGAAATTTTTTGAAATTGTTCAAAAGCAAAAATTTTTTAATCGGTTACCTGTTATTGAACTAGTGGGAATAAAACATGTTTTGGTTTCTTCTATTTTACTACATTTAATGGTGCTTCATTCGAAGCGGGAACCCTGTCACTCACGGAGATTTGGAAACTTCTTTTTCATTTTCACTAGTTGCGCGATAACAGGTAATACTGCAAAGATACCATCTTGTCATTGTAATATGTTATGCAAAAATTATGCTTCCAGAAAACATATCTTCTGAAGAAAATTTAAAATGTTGTTCATCAGAAAGAACTCTAATTTCTTGTTTTTTATTTCAGTTTTGTATAAAATTTATTAACGTAATTATCTCACTTAATTTCTGAGTCTGCAGGAGATATGCTTTCAAAAAATGTCAACGCTTTAAAAATCTGTTATTAATGAATAAGATTATAAGTCTTCAAAGATTTTTTTAATTATTTTTCTCGCACTTAAGAGCGGTCTTACTTTGTCACCAGCGCACTTTTTAAAGTAGTCTCTTTTGACTTTGCGACCGAGTTCAAAGTGCTACAAGTTCTGAAAGAAAAAAGAAGAGTCTAAGGGGTCTGCCACAAATTGCGAATATATATGTAAATATACGGGTGAAGGAGCGCGAAACAAGTTTATGTCACAAGAAATAAAGTTTTTTAATATTGTTTCTAAAATCCATCAGCGTTTGGCGTATGTTGTTTGTTAGTAGTCTGGAAGAGTGCGAGATGGCTAAGATTTTCTTATATGGCCCACTCAATTAGTAAGAAATCCGAGGTATAAAATTATAGCCTATTAGATTTTCAGACCCTTTATGTAAAGCATCGAGGTAAACATTAATGCATAATGCAACAACTTTTACGAATTTCAGACAAAAATTATCTTATGACGGCCAATTTTTCACGACGTACCAGTCCCGTTACGGTAAAGGAAAGTGGCTGCAGCCGTACACAGAGGATATGGTCGTAGAACTTGCCAAGTACTATCCAAAAAATATTCTGTTCATTTGTTCGAAACACCATTTTTGGCTATGATTGAGAGTTTGATTTAGGTCGAATATAAAGAATCTGCTAATTGTCACCCCGGGGTTTTTGGGCGACTGTATTGAAACAGTAAGGGAAATTGCTGCGGAATTGGAAAGCAAGTTCCGGTCAGCTGTCCTCCTGTTTCTAGAAAGTTTCATTGAAAGTAACACGCATTAGCAACAGTTTTTTTTTTTTCAGCGAAAACGGTGGTCAGCGATTCGTTCTTGTGTCTTGTTTAAACGATTCCCCAGAAGGCATTGATATGCTAGAAACTATAGTTAGGCAAAACACAATTCAGTTTTAGTTAGCTTTTTAGTCATAAAATGTAGAGGTAGCGGTAGCAGACATTAGAAACCTACTAAGCAGCTAAAAGTGAAGTTCACTGGAAAAATAAAATCTGCTGCACTGAGATCTCCCATCCAATGCGCTAATGAAGGATGATAGAGGCAAAAAACCTATCTGTTGTTTGCCGAACGTTTCAAATTCATTTACTCTATGCGGTGTCAACTTATAGTCTTGGAATTTTTATTCACGAATTGTTATTTTCGTGGAAGATGGTGTAATTGATATAAGTTTCTTATTAAGGTATATGACAATGTTTAGGCAAATATAAAATATAGAATTTTGTGGTGATAAAACAGAGTACATTTCAAACAGAGGGTGTTATTTTGTCTGAAACACCGTAAATATTAGTGCGAGATAATAGTAAAACCAGGAAATTCCACCGTCAACAATCGTAAGGAGAGATGCACAAAACAATTAAAATTTTTATCATCCGCTTTTTCGTAAGTTTGATCTACGATGAGGGTTTACTGAAACATTCATTTTCCAACAGAAGAATCTTTTAATTTACAAAACTTTGCAGGAAGACTAAAAATTTGTCGCAGATATTGAAACCCTTCTCCCCACCAATAAACCTATAGCAAGTACCGGGAAATCAGTTTCTTTGAAGTAGCGGACGACTTATGAAAATGGCCAAAAGCACATAAAAGAAATACAAGTCAAAATAAAATTCAAGTAACGAGGTCATAGTCTTGCGAAAGAATTCAATATTGGTTTGAAACATAGTCAAATGTTCTTTGACCAACAATGGAATAATGAAATCATGCAACAGAAGAGACGTATTCACAAGTATAACACAGCATCGTCTGGATGACGAGATTTCCTATCGTTCCTAAGCCCCTTTCGTTTAGGAAACTCAACTAAATATACAAATTACCTGCAAAAGGAAAAACTTGGATCGCCGAACAAGAAGAGCGTTTTTTCTATCAGTGTTTTGTTCTCTTATCTTCATTTATTTATTTATTTTTTGCTTGAAGTAAGATTATTCATTTTTAAACGTAACAACCAAGGCAAATTTAACTTACAGATGGGAAGTTTACGACAATGAGGTGATCATTTTTCATCTTCAGTGTCATATAGCTGCTTGTACAAAGGACAGCAAAAGCAGCACCAACAAGACAGTGCTACCAGGACTGAAATTGTTTTAACTGTCACTGATATCTTTCACTATGCCCGAGTAACGCACCAAGACAGTTTTAATTTACTTATTCAGCCTCTGTGTAGATGTTTCATTAAGCAGTTGTACCAGTCAAAGTATACCGTTCGAAACAGTGCTTACATCATGCAAATTCAACCTTTTTTTTTTGTTTCTTCGACTTACAAAAACTGAATCTTGACATGTACACTGAAACACACCCACCGATTCTCAATTGCCGTAAGCAGTTCAAAACCTTACCTGCAACGAGAGTGATAGCAGCTATGATAATCGCTATTAGTGCTCCTGTAGGTACTGCAAATGCACAACAACTGGGTTTCCATGATCTCATGTACGGAAACGTACAACACCAATTGTAATTGTCATAATCCGTCGGTTGTGGGCAGTAGGCCAAATAACCTGATTATCAACACTCAAAATCATCCTCGTAAAGGTACTGATAGATGGTTAGAGAATCAAGAAAAAAATAGCAAAACATTATTATCACTAAAATTTACCATAACCAGATGGGCACCACCATATTCGCCGATTTCCAAGTCGTCCTTCAATATACTGTGTTAAAGGGTCGTTTAATGCTTGAGCTTCTGTGTATTTCGCTGAAAAAAGTAATTGCCAAATTACAATTGAAAAGGAAAAACAGTATACAAGAATATAAATTTGTAAATCATTCTTTGTTTTATATAAGTCACAAACCATATGCGCAAAGCACCGCAACCAATGGCAGCAAGTGAGAAGTCATCTTAAGAAACTCCTGTAGTTTGATGGGAAATACTGCGAATGGCTTTAGGGTATTGAATGCAGAATGCTTTTGAAACTTTGTTCTGCTCTTCTTTGTGCTCAAAGTTAATTTCGCGCAGTGTTCTAAAAAAATGCAGAGATGATTCAAAAAACAGCGGAATACATTAATTTAACAATCGTGCTATATGCAAAAATACATATAAATTTCATTTTTTAAGAGTTTTTAGAAGTTTTAAATATGTTAAAGATTCGTAAAAACTTCTCGCTTATAAGAACTGTGGAAATAGTTTGCAAAGCAGCAGCGCTCGGAGGACAATTTTCAAAATGTACAGAAACAACAATGGTTAGTTAAAGGTACAAGTACAAACTCTTAAAAGTAAATCGGCACATGTCCAAAGATGAAGCTCAATAACCCTTCTTAGAAAATACTAATTAATAAGCTAAATAGATTTGAAACTATAATTAGCAGCTGTGAGATACAATGTGACTATGGAAAAAAAATTCTAGAGCGACAGCATCAAGATGTAAATATAGAAATACGAAGAGACGAAAAAAGCGAGAAGTGGCAGCACCAGTGGAAGTGATAAAAAAAAAGCAAAAATGGAGTGCTCTGTCATATACAGATAGTATAACAATGAATAATGATAGTAATAACAAATCAATAACGTTCAGAAAATGTGTGTAGGAGGGGAGGGGGGAATAAGAATAGTTTTATTAGTGGCGAAGCAATGATATCAACATTAAGGCATGAAGCGTGAATCACTTCAGAAGACTACTAAACCCCTGTAAGATGAAGCCTAACCACTAATACAGAGAACAACAAAAAAAAAAAACTTGCAAATCTCCACCGCTAAGTTTAAATTCTCATGAATTTGAAAAGATTTAAAGTCAGAACTTAATCTTGCTGTGGTCATCGGTTCTCAGTGGGTTTTACGCCAAGGTAATTATACAGAAGTGAATTTTGCCTATTGTTTGGGTATAAGAAAGAAATTGTTTGAAAGCTTTCTTTGATTAATTTAAGGATTTTGCTACTGTTTAAAAGCAATAATCAGATATGCCAGTAAGTCATCGGATTCTTAACAACTACAGGGTAAAGATTCTTTTTCTTTTTCAAGATTAACCTGAACTGCTGCTGAATTGTATCTGTGTAAACAGCTCATCTAATATACGTGTTTGGATTTTTTTATTTGGTTAGACTCAGATATTCTCACTAATCAAGAAGTAGACTTTTTTTGTTGTTCTCATAGTTATTTTATCAATCCATAAAATAGAAACATACATGTACAAATAAATAAATACATGAATAAAGAAATATATATAAATATAAAACCTCAAGTTCTTTTCTTAGCAACAGATATGATAAATCGTCAATTAAGATGAGGAAATTATAACGAAAAGTTTGATAAAAAAGGAAAGATAAAAAATCAGAGAAATGGATTTATCATGCGTTTCAAACTGAAAACTGAACACCCGGTCTTCTACAAGTCACTTGTTGAAGTCAAAAACACTGAGCGTTTATTTCAGCAGTCGGTGTAGCCAAAATGTTGTTTGTTGACTGTAACAATCATTTATTTGGACTCCAATAATTTGGGGACTCCACCAAGAAAAAAAAAAGAATTTTCTATCCCTCATTCAACCTACTAAAATTTCAAATAAATTAAGTTAACTTAAAGAATTTCAGTTCTAATATTTTTTAAAGAATCTTCGCTCACAGTTCTTAATAATATAACTGAAAAACTCTTTTAAACTACAAAAAAAAGAGAAAGCAATCTGCAATCAATAGATACAGTAATCAAAATAGCAGATGAACTGAAAAGTCATAATTATAGGAGAATGACCGCTTGAACAATAGAAGGATATTAAGAGTGAAAGAAGCGAAAGGGAACAAACGATGGAGGAATATATTTTTGAGAAAATCTATTAGGCTTGAGCCAATAACCTCTCTAAACTCAGTACCACTGAACATATCCATCGACAGTTAAATAGACCGCAGACATATGCAAACAAAGTTTAAGACCATAAAAATCTACATCCGTTTTACTGTTCATCCAGGAATATAAAGGCTTTTTTACAGGTCAGACTGTACACCCCAATTTTTTATGCTATAAAAATCCGTCTTTACATTTTAATCGTTTAGATCACCAACAGTTCTAGTGTCGGCAATGCGCGAGCAATAATATCTCTACCAAGCTCTAAATAATAAATTTTTTTGTGAAAATTACTGATAAATTCAACATTATCTGCTCGATCGTGTCTTTCACCAAAGTTTGCATCTAACAATTGCTGAAAGATATTAGCACTGCAGACAGTGGCTTTTAGGAATTCTCAAGCACAACATAATGTGTATTATACACAACAATTAATCACTGGCAAATACTACAAGATATTCCGCTTGGTACCACCCTA